CCACTCATCTTAAAGTGGCCAAGTTTGGACAACACTGCTTTAAAGGGTTGGATGGCGGGCTTTAGGATGGGCAAATAATAAGCCGGCTCAGTTTGCACGAGCTGCGCTCAGTGGCGCTCCTGGGTTTGGGTATCGCGTGCTGTCCATCGCGAGGGCGGCTTGGTGGCAGGGCACGTGTTTCGAAACCGGCACCTCTCTTCGGTTAACCCGCCTTTGGCGAACTCGGCCATTTCTTAGGGCATAAAAGTTTTGGATTTTACTCCACTTTATCCGCTCTATCAGGCCGCGTTTGTAATTCGAGTATTACGCATGAATGGGGGAAGGGGGAGGACAACATGCAGAACGGCCCCCGCTGGGAACTTCTTGAGTTCGGATTATTTCAGCATGGCATTGGACCCCCCCTGAACCCAAACCAACAAAGTTGTGAGTCAGCAGGGCTTCCTGATGGGAGTTGTAATTCAGCTATTTCTGGGCATGTGTTGGTTCCTGACCATTGCCCTGTTTTATAGGCTGCTTCCCACTTAGGCCATTCTAATTGTCTTTCTCACTTGAAGTCAATTACTAGGGGGCACTTTATGTGGGATTCCTACAATTCCAAAGGATGGAGTGGATGGCCTCCATATTCCCATCCAGCTCTGTGATTCTGGGAAGGAAGAATTCCTCCCGGAAGTGTGTTTTCTCGGGCATTTCTCCTTGCACCCAGGTCTAGTTGACTAGCTGTTTTGCTTTAAACTCTTCCAAATACTGATGATGCTGTTTTGAAATCAGGGAGGCGGGGCAATCTCCCAAGGAAAACAAAACCAGATTTTTTCCAGTAAGGGGCAACAGAGAAACACAAGGACACAAATAGAGACAGACTAGACAACCCGTGACCTATTGGGTCATCCTTTCAGATAGATTTCCTTACCTAAACAGAGAAACAGAATGACCACGGGCAGGCAAAAAAGCAGGGGGAGCGGGAGCGACTTCCTGCCGGCTTCCCCATTGACTTTGCTTGTGGAAAGCTGGCGGGGAGCATCGGAAATCACTCCTTGACTGACCCACGGAATTGCCTGCTGCTTGGCTGGGAAGAGCGGGAACGAAGGGAGCTGCGGACCGCGAGGAAAACTGCACCCCGCTGCCCATCCTGCCATGTCCCCAAGGGCCCCCTCCCTCCAGGGAGGAAGAGGGGTCACCCATCAACCGCCGGTGCCCCCCAGCCAGGCCTACCTCGCCAGCGGACTCATTCCCTCATCCTCCCCTCTCCGCCAACCGCCGTTAAGAGATTTCAAATTTCAGCCTTGGTTCCAAAGCAGCCAATTGAGCGCAGGGGCCAGAGGGAGGTGGGAAAGAGGGTGGGGATAGGCCCTTCCCATCTTCCCTTGTGCCACACAACCTACTTTTGGGGGTACGTGAGGAGGCCTGATGGCGCTGAAGTGGCCACACCTTTGCCAAATTTCAGTCCCACGGGAGTAATGGGTGCTGGATTTTGACCCGTTCTTTAAGTTAGTCCATGTGAGATACCTGGGTTCAAAAATAGTTGCCCTGTGATGCACCGTTTTGCCCAGTTGAAAGTTACAAACAGGCAAACACTAATACAATGAATAGTTGTATGTAGATAATGTTATTGAAGGCAAAAGGAGAAGAGGACGGCAGAGGATGAGATGGTTAGATAGCATCACTGAAGCAATGAGCATGAAACTGAGCAAACTCAGGGAGGCAGTGAAGGACAGGAAGGCCTGGCGCAATATGGTTCATGGGGTCACGAAGAGTCGGACACGACTTAACGACTAAACAACAACAAGAAGATAATGTTATTGTAATATATGCACACACACACATGTATCTATATATTAGCATACATATTCTTCTGCAGTGTTTTTTTTCCAATAATTATAATACATTTGTTTAATTTATAGCATTTTTCCTCTAGAAGCTCTAGGCCACGTACATACAGCTCCATCCTCCTGTGTTATTCTTACAACAACCATATGAAGTGGGCTGGGCAGTCACACAGTGAATTTCCATGGTTGAAAGGAAATTTGAAACTGGCCTCCTTCATCCTAATCCAACACCCTAGTCACTATATTACCCTAGCTAACAAGAATATGTCTTTATGTGATTAGTTCTGTGAGTACTAGAAGCAACAGCTGCTAAGTTGAAAACTCTGTCTCGAGGATTATGGAAGGCAGGAAAATGAACTCTGCAAGTGGTCCAGTCACAGAGAAAGACAGACATGTCATTAACCATGGGTAAGCATGCTGGGGGAACACAATCAAATTCTGGGGTTCCCTGTGGGATGTGGGGCCCGAGAAGGCTGGTGTGTTATAAAATGATGGTGAGAGATTGCAAACAAGCTGATAGATGTATCCCACATTTCCTTTTGTATTATCTTCAGAAGCAAAACTGAGCGCCCCTCCCCCCAGGAGATAAAATTAAGGATTAGAGCCCCAGAAGCCTTTCAAGGGTACAGGGCACTCTTGGATTTGAAGGGTGGCATGTATACTGTGTATTAAAATGAATACATGTAGTGACACAGCTGAGCTTGTAGGGTGGAAGATTTCAAACCTCCTTCCACAGAAACCTACTGGGTCTCCCCCCCTAATGCTACCATCTGCCATGGTGTAGTTGTTTGGTAGTTACTACTGCCACCAGCCATCTTCAAGGGGATGTGTCTCCTAGCATCTTCCCTCAAAGTCCAGTGTGTGAAAGAAGTGGGGCTCCCACAATAGCTGCCTTACTAGCTATTTAAAAAGTTACAGATGAATAATTTCTATACTATCACCTCCTCTCTATGTAGTACAGAGGCATGTGACTAGAGGTTTGAGGCCTTCTACCCATCTCTGGGAGTATATCCAATCCCACCAGAGATCAGCAAAATCAAGCTTTATTAGGAAAGAAGGAAAGATAAAATGTGAATCCCCTGTCTTAACTTAAAATATCCTCATTACAAAAAGTCAAAGTAGATAAAGACAGATGATAGAGGTGTACCAACTAGGGACAGCAACCTAAAAGAGTTATAAAAGCCAAAAATAATGTTACTGATAGACCACAAGATGGTGCTGGTCTGTTACAATTGGCAAGCAATCTCTCAGAAAAGAGATTGCTTCCCAATTATATTTCAGCTCAGAAGTTAAGACCCAGTCTGAAATGAGAGTTAAAAAAGAAACAGCTGAGATTATGAACAATTGATTGCTGTAAACACACACTGAAAAAGAAATTTAGCACTGTTCTTATCCATATGTTTTCCCATTCCTATGGAGGATGCATGACCCCTTGAAACAAACACTACCTCTGTTCCAGTTGTGAACTGGGAATTCCTTCTTCCTGGAAATTCCACTTTATTGGAGAATGGATTTAGCTCTTGCTCTGTTCCTCCAGAGTTTTGCCATTATTTTTAAAAGGTTTCAAAACCTCTTCAATCCAGCAAAGGGGGTAAAGTTGTGGTATCCCTCACTGCTCCTATGTGAAAGAGTGTGCTTTTCCCTCTTGAATGTTGAAACTCTGAGGCTGGTTGGATGATGGATGGATAAATGGGTGGATGGATGGCAGTGAGTGAGGAATGGATTTTGCAGCCTACTTTCAGGAGTTGCAATAGGTATGCAATTGTAAAAGAATAGTGCACAAGAAACTACTAAACTGGATGACCTGTGTCATGACTAGCCCCCAATGGAAAGGAACAAGAGTTGTATACCACCCCAAATCCAGGTCTGTGTTCACACAACATGCTAACCCCCAAATGGGATTTGCTTATTTGTCACTTAGGATGTTGTATGAACTAAGCCAAC